CAATTTTTCTGAGTGATGGTCACTCGTTGGCCTATTGGGGGTATAGTGTCCAAATTGGGCGTCAATTCGTTCATTCGTTGAGTTATGTTAATCCCACAAATGAACATTACATTTGTATTTATATAGACTAGCTGTACCTGCCACGTGTTGCTGTGGCCAACTTTTCCTCCCTCCCTCTTTTTCTTTCTCTTCATCTTCTTATGTTATTGGGAAACTGCTCTGAGTCCCCTCGGGGAGAGGGAGAGAGAGAGCGGTATATGTATACAATATGTGAGAGGAAGCCACAGAGAGGAGGAGGAGGGAGCAAGCTTCCTTTCTGCTTCCCTGGAGACTAGGACGCAATGGAACAATGGCTTCAAACTACAAGAGAGGAGATTCCATCTGAACACGAGGAAGAACTTCCTGACTGTGAGAGCCGTTCAGCAGTGGAACTCTCTGCCCCGGAGGGAGTGTGGTGGAGGCTCCTTCTTGGGAAGCTTTTAAACAGAAGCTGGATGGCCATCTGTCGGGGGTGATTTGAATGCAGTATTCCTGCTTCTTGGCAGAATGGCGTTGGACTGGATGATGGCCCAGGAGGGGGTCTCCTCCAACTCTTTGATTTGATTCTATGATATCAATGAAGTTTAGCTGTTGTTTTGTTGTCTGCTGTTTAGCTGTTGTTTTGTTGTCCCTGACATCTGTCTACATTGGGATCATCTTACTGTTGTGATGGAGAGCGGCGGCGGTGGCTCCTTTTTAGGTCACTTGATGTGGACAGACTGCACTACGCACTGAATATTATGCACTTTAGGCACCACCTTGAGCATTATTGTTTTTTCTTTACATAGACCAGGGGTCCTCAAACTTTTTCAACAGAGGGCCAGGTCACAGTCCCTTAAACTGTTGGAGGGACGGATTATAATTTTTTAAAAATGAACGAATTCCTCTACACACTGCACATATCTTATTTGTAGGTCAAAAAAACCCACTTTAAAACAATGCAATAATTAAAATGAAAAACAATTTTAACAAATATAGACTTATTAGTATTTCAATGGGAAACGTGGGCCTGCTTTTGGCTGATGAGATAGGATTGTTGTTGTTGTTGTTGTTGTTGTGTGCTTTCAAATCACTTCAGACTTAGGCTGACCCTAAGTGAGGGCCGGGTAAATGGCCTTGGAGGGCCAGATCCGGCCCCCCGGCCTTAGTTTGAGGACCCCTGACAGAGACTATTTGGTGTATCTCAACCAGCTAGGCCACAGCCCCTGGCCTAAGGGAGGGAGGCAGGAAGGGAGGGAGGGAGGAGATGCCCCCGAAACGGGAGGAGGAGTGAGGAGCAGCTTGGCACTCTCTCTCTCTCTCTCTCTCTCTCTCTGCCTTCCCCGGATGGAGGGAGGGGAGTGTGGGGGAGGCTGGCTGGCCATCTGTTGGGGGGGCTTTGAAGGCCCGGTAGGGAACCCTCGCCAAGACACACACCCCCCGGGCACCCTCTTCGAGGCCTGGCGTGGGCCCCCCCCCCCCCCGTCCGTCCCTTGCTGTCTTGTCCCCCTCCCCGGCCGGGCATTCTGGGAAAGGAAGGGAGCGAGGGAGCGAGGGAGGGAGCACTCACCGGAGTCGGCCTCGGAGGAAGAGAAGAAAGAGAGAAGGAGGGAGGGAGGGAGGAACGCCGGAAGGAGGGCTCCGCGTGGCCACCCTCCTGCCCGGAAGAGGAGGGCCTTTCTCTCGGGCCGGCGGAAGCGGCGAGGCTCCTGAGGGAAGCAGGGACAAGAAGGCAGCGTCTGCCTGGCAACAGGGAAAGGGGCGGGGCCCGGTGGCCTTCTCCTGCTCCCTGATTGGTGGCGCCTCGTTCCCTCCCTCCCTTCCTCCGGGGTCCGCCTGGCAACAGGGAAAGGGGCGGGGCCTGGTGGCCTCCTTCTGCTCCCTGATTGGTGGCGCCTCGCTCGCTCGCTCCCTCCCTCCCTCCCTCCCTCCCTCTCCTCCGGGGTCTGCCTGGCAACAGGGAAAGGGGCGGGGCCCGGTGGCCTCCTCCTGCTCCCTGATTGGTGGCGCCTCCCTCCCTGCCTGCCTCCGGGGTCCGCCTGGCAACAGAGAAAGGGGCGGGGCCTAGTGGCCTCCTCCTGCTCCCTGATTGGTGGCGCCTCGCTCCCTGCCTGCCCCAGGGCGGGGCTTCGGAGGGGAGGAGGGAGGAGAAGGCGGAGTCTGCGTGGAAACAGGGAAAGGGGCGGGGCTCGGTGGCCGCCTCCTGCTCGCTGATTGGTGGCGCCTTCCTCCCTCCCTCCCTCCCTCCCTCTCTCCGGGGTCTGCCTGGGAACAGGGAAAGGGGCGGGGCCCGGTGGCCTCCTTCTGCTCCCTGATTGGTGGCGCCTCGTTCCCTCCCTTCCTCCGGGGTCCGCCTGGCAACAGAGAAAGGGGCGGGGCCCAGTGGCCTCCTCCTGCTCCCTGATTGGTGGCGCCTCCCTCCCTGCCTGCCTCGGGGCGGGGCTTCGGAGGAGAGGAGAAGGCGGAGTCTGCGTGGAACCAGGGAAAGGGGCGGGGCCCGGTGGCCTCCTTCTGCTCCCTGATTGGTGGCGCCTCGTTCCCTCCCTCCCTTCCTCCGGGGTCTGCCTGGCAACAGGGAAAGGGGCGGGGCCCGGTGGCCTCCTCCTGCTCCCTGATTGGTGGCGCCTCCCTCCCTGCCTGCCTCCCAGGGCGGGGCTTCGGAGGGGAGGAGGGAGGAGAAGGCGGAGTCTGCCTGGCAACAGAGAAAGGGGCGGGGCCCGGTGTCCTCCTCTCTCTCCCTGATTGGTGGCGCCTCGCTCCCTCCCTCCCTCCCTCCCTCCCTCCCTCCCTCCCTCCCTCCAGCAGAGGGTTCTTCTGCCCCTGAGCTCCTCCTGAGGGAGGTCCAGGGAAGGCCCGCTCCTCCTCCTCCCCACGCTCCCTTCTCTCCTGCCTCGGCCTGGAATCACACTGCGTCCAGTTCTATCGAAGGGAGGCGTTGACTCCCAGTTGGAAGAATGCTGTGTCCAGAGAAAAGGCGACTCAAAGGATCAAGACTCGAGAACAAGCCCTATGAGGAGCGGCTGAAAGAGATGCAGGGCATGTTGAGCCTGAAGGAGAGAGGCTGAAAGGAGACATGATGAGAGGCCATGTATAAATACGTGAGGGGAAGTCACACGGAGGAGGGAGCGAGCTTCCTTTCTGCTGCCCTGGAGAGAGACTTGGACGCCATGGAGCCATGGCTTCAGCCTACAGGAAAGGAAGGAGATTCCACCTGATTCTGAGGAAGGCCTTCCTGACAATGAGAGGCTGTTCAGCAGTGGAACTCTCTGCCCGTTGTGGAGTGTGGTGGAATGAGCTGCCTTCTCTGAATTCTAGAATCCTCGCGTTGGAAGAGACCACATGGGCCCTCATCCAGTCCAACCCCATTCTGCCAAGAAGCAGGAATATTGCATTCAAATCACCCCTGACAGATGGCCATCCAGCCTCTGCTCAAAAGCTTCCAAATAAGGAGCCTCCACCACACTCCCTCTGGGGCAGCGAGTTCCACTGCTGAACAGCTCTCACAGTCAGGAAGTTCTTCCTCATGTTCAGGTGGAATTCTTGTAGTTTGTAGCCATTGTCCCATTGCGTCCTAGTCTCCAGGGAAGCAGAAAGGAAGCTTGCTCCCTCCTCTTCCCTGTGGTTTCCTCTCACATATTTATACATGGCTATCATGTCTCCTCTCATCCTTCTCTTCTTCAGGCTAAACATGCCCAGTTCCCTAAGCCGCTCCTCATAGGGCTTGTTCTCCAGACCCTTGATCATTTTAGTCGCCCTCTTTCTCTGGACTCTTTCCAGGTTGTCTACCTCTGCCTTCAGTTGAAAGTCCAGAACTGGACACATTGGCCCCGCAGCTGGCCTCGCTTTCTCCTTCCTAGCAGGAGGGTGGCCGTGTCTCCTGGGCGGCCCTTCTTCCTCTGCATCTGGGGCCTCTTCGCCCTCTCTGGGGACTTGGCCACGGATGTGGGCTGAGGCCTACCATTGATTCCCTCCTGGAGGCCCTTCCTCGCTGCTGGCCCCACGGCCTGAGAAGGGGCAAAAGTGCGGGAGGGGGTCCTTCCTCTGGGTTCAGCAGGCCGGGCCCCTTCCCAGGAGAGAGTCTGCCTGTGGTGGGGAGGGCCCTTCCCTTCCGTGGGCCTCTCTGTGGCAAACCCCAGGCAGGGGCCGCAGTCGCACAGCAGGTTAAACCGCTCGCTGCAGAACACTTGCCGACCCAGTTCAAAGCTGCGGATGGGGATGAGCTCCCGCTGTTAGCCTTAGCTCCTGCCAATCTATGCATTTATTTATTTATTTGCTGTTTTGACACCCGCCCTCTCTCACCCCGAAGAGGACTCAGAGCAGCTTACAAGGAGGCAACAGTCACTACCTCTGAGGATGCTTGCCGTAGATGCAGGCGAAACGTCAGGAGAGAATGCCTCTAGAACATGGCCAGATAGCCCGAAGAAACCCACAAGAACCCAGCTGCAGCAACAGTTTGAAAACATGCAATGCGAGGACATCCATAGAGCGGCCGCGGCCTCAGAGGGAGGCGCAATGCGTCCAACCCTTGTGCTGGCAGGACTGAAGACCAACAGCTTGGAGGAACGGATCCAGAGAGAGTATGGATGAGCTCCCTCTGTCAGCTCCGGCTCCCCATGCGAAGGGGCCATGAGAGAAGCCTCCCTCCCACAAAGATGGTCAGACATGAAAACATCCATCCAGGCAACGTCCCCTGGGCAACCTCCTTGCAGACGGCCCTCTCTCTCACCCCTGCCCATTGCGCTTGCCAGGGTGGCCGGATGGAGGTGGATCTTAGAGGGAGAGAAGTTGGCCCTGAGAGGAGCCTCCCACAGGGTGGTGGGAACCCATCGGGCCCCATTCTCTCACCCCAGAAGCCCCCCCCCCCCCGCGCAGTTTCTCCACTCGCTCCTGACACGAGGGAAACAACACTTCGGACAAGTTTGGGGGAGGTCAAGAGGGGGCGGGGCTAAGGGGAGGGGAGGGGCTAAGGGGAGGGGCGGGGCTTCTTCCCCGACGGAGTGACAGAGAGAGAGAGAGCGAGAATGGTGCGGGCTGCGTGGGTGGTGGTGGGCTTGTCCCTGGTGTGGGGCTGGGGGCCGGGACCCTCGGGGGCCTCCCAGGAGGGAGAGGGTAAGGCCGACCCCCCCCCCGCTTCCCCTTCCCCTCCTTTCTCCCCCCCCTTGCCTTCTTCCTCTGCACCTGGAAAGGAAATTGGGGGGGGGGAGGGGGCGGAAAAGCAGGAGCCTAAGGGGGAGGGGGGGTTGGAATGGGGGGGGCAGGTGCCTGTGGGGCGCGAGGAAGGAAGGGGTCCCTTGCCAGGCCCTGCAGCCCTTTCCACCGGCTTTGCGCACTCCCCCCCCCCCCCCAGATAATTCTTTCCTCCCCTGCAGGCAGAGACCCCCCCTTCTCTCTCTCCCTGGAAATCTCTTGGGTTTCATCCCTGGGCTGCGGGGGGGGGGGGGGGGGCCCTGGGTCCAGCCTCCCTCTGGGGTGGGGGGGAGGGAGGGAGGGGAGCAAGTGCCTGTGGGGTGAGTGGGGGGGCGACGAAGGGGTGGGTCCCTTGCCAGGCCCTGCCGCCCTCCATGTCCCCCCTTCTTTCCAGACTCCCCTGCAGTAAGAGACCCACCCCCTTTGCATCGATCCCGGGGCGCCTTGAACTCCTTCCTTATCCAAAGACTCCCTCTTGCCTTTGGCCTGGGGGTGCAGGGGGGGGTCAGGCTGGGCCAGGAGCCGAGGGAGGGGCGGCCCAGGGCCCAGGCCGGGAGGGGGGGACCCTTCTTCCCTGCCCCCCCACCCCCGGCTTGGCCCCGTGCTTTTTGGAACCAGGTCCTTCCTCTTGCAATTCCCCAGCGAGAGAGAAAGGGTGGGTCAGAACTTTGACAGAACTTTTTACTTTTCCAAAGAATGGCATTGGACAGACAGGCAGATAATGTGGAACTACATTGGATTCAAAAACAGCTTACAGCTACATTGCCTAACAAACAACAATGGTGGGACCTGTACGCAGATGACGTCTAAATCTGTCACTCCTTCCCACCCGTTACCAAGCAGGCCGTTCAGACCTTGAACCGGTGTTTGGCGGCTGTGTCGGACTGGATAAGGGTGAACAAATTGAAATTGAACCCAGACAAGACAGAGGTCCTCCTGGTCAGTCGCAAGGCCAAACAGGGCATAGGGTTACAGCCTGTGTTGGATAGGGTGACACTCCCCCTGAAGACGCAGGTTCGCAGCTTGGGTGTGACCCTGGACTCATCGCTGAGCCTGGAAACCCAGGCCTCGGCAGTGGCCAGGAGAGCTTTTGCACAATTAAAACTTGTGCGCGAGCTGCGCCCGTACCTTGGGAAGTCTGATCGGGCCACGGTGGTCCACGCTCTGGTTATGTTATGAACCCAAAGAGGTTCCTGTTCTTTTGCAGAGTGTTCAAGGATAGTGGGGCAGTTTAGATCAATAAGACACCTTAGAGACCAAATTTGGCTTTGACACTATTCATGTAACTTTTATTGAAATACAATCATCACAGAATCACATCAAGGAGAGCTCTCATACACACACACATACACACATACTCACACATACACAGGCCTTCTCCAGACGAAGATGATCAGCTTTCCTCTGAGGAGGTGTGGACGTTCCTGTTGCCACGGATCAGGAAGCGTGCATGTTGTTGGGGTCCCGTGCATTTATAGGCCAAAATCCATTTTTCTTCATTTCAATAATCAGGTTGTTCTGTTCTCTTTCAAGTTCTTTCAAGTCCTTGTTCTCCCCAAAGTTCAGGACATTGCATTCCAGGCCTCATGACTTATGGGGTACCTCCTGCATGCATCCTGCCCTCCTTACATGCTTGGCCCCATACCTTATTGTTCATTGTCACTCAGTTATGCCTTGCTGCCTCCTCGCTTCGATGGCCAAGGCCGTCCCACATAATGCTTTGCGAGAACTCCATGTTGGTTTTCTTCAGGCCTGTTTCTTCTCTTCTAAATGCATTCAAAACATTCATTCTTTACAGTTACATCCCGAATAGACTACTGCAACGCACTCTATGTGGGGCTGCCTTTGAAGACTGTTCAGAAACTTCAACTAGTCCAATGGTCGGCAGCCAGATTACTCACTGGAGCATCGTTCAAGGAGCATACCACCCCCCTGTTACATCAAATCCACTGGCTGCCGGTCCATTTCCGAGCACAATTCAAAGTGCTGGTCTTGGCCTATAAAGCCCTATACAGTTCCAGCCCAGCCTACCAGTCCAGACGTATCTCCCTCTACATCCCGCCTCAGAGTTTAAGATCATCCGGAGAGACCCTGCTCTCGATCCCACCTTCATCACAAACACATTTGGCAGGGATGAGGGACAGGGCCTTCTCAGTGGTGGCTCCCCGCCTGTGGAACTCCCTCCCCAGTGAGATTAGGTCAGCTCCATTCCTCCTTCCCTTTAGGAAGAAGCTTAAATCATGGTTCTGGGGCCAGGCGTTTGGGGAGCAGGCTTGATAGCGACTGCAATGTTGACGTGAAGTGCCAATGGAGAGGCTCTGACAAAGTCTTGGGATGCCGAAGTGGATTGCATTTGGCCACATGGTTATTAGTAAAGTTTTTAAATGGATTTTAACTTGATGGTTTTATTTCATGTGTAATGTTGTGATGTATTGTGTATGTGACATATTGTGTATGTATTATGTGTGTGTTGGCATCGAATTGTGGCCGTTGTAAGCCGCCTCAAATCCCCCTTTGGGGGTTGAGAAGGACGGGGTGGAAATATTAGTATCAATTAATGATAGACGTCTTCCATCCTGGCTCCATCTCAGTTTCTTGGCAGATGTTGGCTGTGCGTCATTGGCGTTGGTAATGAACCATTGTGTTCTGGGTTTGGCTTGAAAGAGCATTCTCTTTGGCGAATGGAAGCAGAGACCATTTTCTGTTGACAGATGTAAACATTTCTCTTATCACTGTCACAGTTCTTATCACAGTTTCCCATTTCAGTTCTCATTAGCAGGGTTTAATTACAGTCCATGAAGCAGCAGTTAATGATTTAGTCATTGAAGGCCTTGATCTTTAGAACGGTGTCTGCAAAATAATTAACTGTGATTCATTGATCGTTCATACAATCCCATTCATTCCCACACATATCAATTCCATATTTGTTGAATCTGTGCATTGTATTTCCTCGTGACCTCGTGACCTCCTGCCTCTTGCCTCCAGGTCCAGAGAGCGCCCGTCCAACGGTCTCCACCCGACTGGGGCGCCTGCGTGGGACGCTGCTGAGCGTGGAGGGCGCCTCGGCCCCCGTGAAGGCCTTCCTGGGGGTCCCGTTTGCCAAGCCCCCCCTGGGCGCCCTCCGCTTTGCGCCGCCTGAGCCGGCCGAGCCCTGGACCCACCTGAGGGAGGCCGCCTCCCAGCCCCCCATGTAAGCAGCCCACGAGTGGGTGGCCCTCTGTCCACCAGGGGACACCTCACCCCCACTCTCCCCCTGAAGCCCAAGGGTTTTGAGGTGCACCTCAAGGCTCCCCACCTTGGCCTGCGGAACAGGAGCCGGGTGGGCAGCAGGGCCAGGAACCCACACATTTGGGGTGCCTTTGATGGGGACAGGGGAGCCATTTGGAGGGCAGTGGGGGTGGTTGGGATCAAGCCAGCCCCCAAAGTGATGCAATGGGTGAAGAAGCAGCAGGAAAGCCAAAGTTGGAACTCCACAAAGAGCCATTGCGTGCTTCCTTCAAGGTATCAAAAATGGACTCATGAAGATCGGGTGTGCTGAATCGGGAAAGAATACAACAAACATTAAGCTGAACTATTATCCCGATATATCCCATTGCTGGACGTGATGGAGTTCCTTGCTTGTTGTCTTTCAAATGAGGGAGTGCGCCCCCCCCCCCCTCGGCTGACCTCCCTTCCCCTGGTCAGCTGCCAGGCTGGGGAGAAAGGAAGGGTCACTCCAGGCCAGCCGGCCATTGGGCCTCTTCCTGTCCTTCAAGAGGAGTGGGCAAGGTCGCCTTCAGCCCTGGGAGCCCCTGTCAAAGGATCCATTCACAGCAGCGTTTCTCAACCTGGGGGTTGGGACCCCTGGAGGGGTCACGAGGGGTGTCAGCCCATCAGAAAGCACACTATTTTCTGTTGGTCATGGAGGTTCTGTGTAGGACGTTTGGCCCAATTCCATCACTGGTGGGGTTCAGAATGCTCTTTGATTGTAGGTGAACTAGAAATCCCAGCAACTACAACTCCCAAATGTTAAAGTCTCTTTCCCCCAAAGTCCACCAGTGTTCGCATTTGGGCATATTGAGTATCCGTGCCAAGTTTGGTCCAGATTGGCTCCACAGTGCTCTCCGGATGTAGGTGAACTACAACTCCCAAACTCAATGCCCACCAAACCCTTCCAGTATTTTTTGTGTTGGTCATGGAGTTGTGTGGGCCAAGTTTGGTTCAGTTCCATCGTTGGTGGAGACCAGAATGCTCTTTGATTGTAGGTGAACTATAAATCCCAGCAACTACAACTCCCAAATGACTAAATCCATCCCCCTCCCCAACCCCACCAGTATTCAAATTTGGGCGTATTGGGTATTTGTGCCAAATTTGGTCCAGTGAATGAAAATACATTCTGCATATCAGATATTTACAATCAATGACAGGAGCAAAATGGCAGTTGTGAAGTAGCAACACAAATCATATTATCAGCACAACATGAGGAACTGTATGAAGGGTCATGGCATTCAGAAGATGGAGAAACGCTGACGGACAGGAAGCCTGGCGGGAAGGAGAACGGGAGGGGCGAGGAAGGCCTGGGGGGGCAGGGGGGTTCCCCCGGATGGCCGGTGAGACCGGGCCTGTCCTTCTGCCCCAAAGGCACAGTGGCTCCTTGTGTCATGGGGCCTCAGCAGAAGGGACACGGAGAAGCCTGGGGTCCCCCTCCTCCGGGAAGAGCCTGGCCCGCTCTCTCTGCAGGGAGCCAAGGGCGGGAAGGGCCTGGCCGGACTCACCTTTCTGCCCTTTCTGCCCTGTGACAAGGTGCCTGCAGGACATGGGCTGGATCCAGGGGCTGAATGCGACGCTGCCCAACATGCCCGTCTCGGAGGACTGCCTCTACCTCAACGTCTTCACGCCGGACACGGAGGCCAAATTGCCGGTGAGGCAGGCACTGCTCCCCTGACCACCGCTATGGCCTTTTTGGGAATGGGTCACCACTGGTCCTTGGGGGCTGGTGTTGGGGCTCCTCTGTTTTGATCCTGCCCTTTGGCCCCAAAGAGCTCTGGCCCTTCGTCCGTTTAGGGACCCTGCAGCCTTAGGGCCGAAGATGGCCAGGAGGGCAGGAAGGTGCCCCGTAAGGACCGCCATGTTTGGCCGCGAGCCCCATCCTCATCCTCCTCCGCTGTGCCCTGTCCCTCCGCAGGTACTGGTTGGGATCCATGGCGGGGCCCTGATCGTGGGATTCGCCTCCCTTTACGACGCGCCTGGCCTCTCTGCCCTCGAGAATGTGGTGGTGGTGGTCCCTCAGTACCGGTTGGGGATCCCGGGCTTCTTCAGGTGAGAAGGCCTTGGGCCGTTTCATTGGCCCGTTGCCTCTCGGCTATTCCCTGGCCTCAAGGGTCTCTGAGAAAGGCCTTCCGGTTGCTCTTGGCTTGACCGGCCGGTCTCGGCTTGTTCTGACCTTCCGCTTCTCTGTGGTATTTCGGAAAGAGCTCGTAGTGCTCACTTACCACAAGTATTTCTAAAATATCTTTGGATGCTTTACTTTCTGAACGATGAAGATGTTGCTAGAAGGTCTGGAATTGATTAATTCCTCATTACGGAACCCTCTTTTTGCTTTCCAGGAGAGTCTCGCTTAACCGACCTTCGCTTATCCGACATTCTGTATTTTCTGATGGATATGGAAGGCCTTATTCAAAAAATTTGGGGGAAAGGGAATGAAGGGGGTGCTCCTGGAGGGAGGGAGGGAGGGCCCTCCTTGTCTCCTTGCCCCCTCCCCAATTGTTAAGCCCCTCCAAAAGCTTGCAAACCTCTCCCCAAAGAGAGAGAGCGACCCACACACTTTCCCTTTGGTAAAAGGATGGCGCATGGCTTTCAGTTGGAAGAAAGCAGGAGGGATCCAGGAGGGGATCTGGTCCCCAAGGGAGGGGGCTCCTGACCGGGGGTGGGGCCCACTTGGGCGTCCATCTATGCCGCCGTTGCTGTAACCCAAGGAAGGAGAGCGAGGGACCGGCTTCCCTCCTTGACGGGGGCCCCATCCGCATTGCAGGGAAATCCCGGGCTGGAGGGGCCGGGAAGGGAGGCAGAGGAGGAAAGGAGGGGGCTGCCATTCGGGGATGGCGTGAAGCCCCCACCGGCGGGCCAGGAAGGAGGGGAGAAGGGGAGAAGAGAGGGGACAAAGTGGGGTCAGGCAGGAGGCCCCTCTTCAGCCCCTAAAAAAAGAGAGGCGCACGCGTTTAATATCACTCCCTATTATCCAACATTTTGTTTATCCGACATTCTGTCGGCCCCTTTATGTCGGATAAGCGAGACTCTCCTGTCTTCTGCTAATCATTGGCCTGTCTGTATTCTTCCTTTGGGCTTTATTTTAGGAGTATTTTCCCCAGCTGTGTCATCCCTCTGCATCAGATCTCTTCTCTCTTCAGAAGTCTCCATTTTGTGTTGCTCATTGCCTGTTGCAACAAAACGGCGGAGACAAACCTCCAGGCCCCGCAATTCCTGCCTTCCTCCCCCTTTCCCCACTGGACTATTGCGCTGACTTGGCCTGGCCACTCCCTTGACCGGCCCTCCTTGGCACCATGTCTTCCAGCACCGGGTCCAAGGAGGCGCCTGGCAACTGGGGCTTGCTGGACCAGGTGGCCGCCCTCAGGTGGGTCCAGGAGAACATCGCGGCCTTCGGAGGAGACCCCACTTCGGTGACCATCATGGGAGAGTCGGCCGGAGGGTTCAGTGTGGGGGTCCAGGTGGGTCAGGAAGTTGCAACGGTTTTGGCCAGAGAGAAGCCCCGGGGACACCTCCTCTGGGGTGCCCCTGACCCCTTGCTTCTGTCTACCAAGACAATAATAGAAACTATAAAACAGCAAAGGCAAGGACGGCCACACTCTCTGCAAGACCCCATTGGGTGCCATTCTCATGCCTCAAGGTGGGAAGCAGAAACCAAGGAGCTCTAAGGCACAAGCCCACCCGCCCTTCCCTTCCCTTGCCCTGCTTTCTGTCCTTTTCCGGTGCAGGTATTGTCCCCGTTGTCCAGGGGCCTCTTTCACAGAGCCATCTCCCAGAGCGGAGCCGCTGTCACGTCCTGCCTTGTTGTGGAGAACCCCAAAGCCATAGTCCAGGTGAGTCCATGGGTCAGTTGTGTCTATGGGCCAGGTATATTCATAACCCAGGTGACACTATGGCCCAGTTGAGTCCGTAGCCAAGGTGTGTCCATGATCCAGGTGAGACTATGGCCCAGGCGAGTCCCTGCCCCAGGTATGTTCATAACCCAGGTGTGAGATGTATTGAGAGGTGGGTAGAGTGTACGAGAAGCTGTGCTGAGGACATCATCAAGGGATTAAAAACGATTGAGTCTCCACGGATGAGTCCTGTCCCTATGAGACACAAACCCCTGATTGTGAAGGAGGTGGTTTGAGGTGAGAAGGAACCTGAGATGAGGGCTCCTGGGCTGAGCAGGAGTCGGGGAAGGATACGGCCTGCCATAGATACGGCTTCTGCTGAGGCTTCCCATTGTACACAGTGGTGGTTGTTGTTCTTGTCTGTCTCCTTGAAGACGGTGGCCAATGTCTCTGGCTGTGAGTCCAGCAGTCCAGCTGCCCTGGTGCTTTGCCTGAGGAGCAAAACGGAGGAGGAAATGGTCGCCCTGAACATCCAGCTGTGCCGGGTGAGAAGCCAGGAGGCCCCGATAGCCCCATGGCCCTGACATTTTAGCCCACTCAGGACCCAACTTTCCAAATGGGATGGGGAGGAACCATGGAGGTCACTGGAGGCAAAAAGGCCCCAACCTTCTGCCCATTGAATGCCCTCCAGACCCTTTCCACTCCCAAGGGATGGCTCCTTAAGAGTCCCTGCACATACCTGGAGACGGCCCTGCAAGTCCACTCTCTCGGCTGACCCACCAAAGCAGACTCTTCTTCCTTGGGATTCACATTGGTGAATCCTTCCAACATTCCCAGCTTGGCTTCATGTGGCCACCTTGCAAATCAATTTAGGAAGAAACTACACGTTTCTTCTGAAGGGTTTCCACTTAGTGAACTGTCCCAAAGGCATTGAGTGGGGGATCTGAGTGGCCAATGGAAGATATCTAACCCAACCCAACAGGTCTTTGGAGTGGTCCCTGCGGTGGTGGACGGGGAGTTCCTTCCCAAGGCACCGGAGGAGCTGCTGGCCGCCAAGGAGTTCAGCCATGTTCCGTATCTGATCGGCATCAATAACCACGAGTATGGGTGGGTTCTCCCTCAGGTGAGTGGGACAGTCACCATTTTTACATTATGCTTATGTTTTGGGCCGCGGGTTCAGATCCCTTCACTTGGCAATGGAAACCCACTGAGGGGCCTTGGACAAGTCACACTCTCTCAGCCTCAGAGGAAGGCAAGGACAAGCCTCCTCTGAGCAAACCACTAAGAAAACCCTGGGAGAGGGCCAGCTTAGGGCCACCATAAACTTGAAAGGACTCAAAGCACACAAACTGTGTGCTAAATTTGGTCCTGATGCATCATGTGTGACGGTCGTAGTGATTTCTGGAAATGAGTGAAGATACTGCAAATCCCATCGTCCCTGGTCCATCTTCTCCCAATCCTCACCAGGACAAAAAGTGCATCATGGAAAGTCTGTGTGGCAAGTTTGGTCCAGGTCCATCACAAGAATCCAACGCTGTGGACAGGGTCAACTGTCATAGATTAAAAATTTAAAACACTGGGTGTGAGCAGAGATGGAGTATATCTAAGCCGGGGTTTTAGAGGGTAATATAGGGCAGTTACTCCAACGGGCAGGTCAAGTGCTTCAGAGGACCTATTGCAGATGTTGGTCAGATCCAGGTGTTGTTTCCTTTATTCAGGGAAGGCACACTGGGACAGCCACGTTTTCAGGCTCCTCCTAAAGACTGCCAACGTGGGGGTGTGGTGAAGTGTAAATTTTAATCTACTGTTGTGTATAGTTATAGATAGGCGTTGAAAGGGTAAGTATTTAGAGTAGCATAAATGGGGGGATGGTAGCCAGCTCAGCTCACTTTGAGCTGGGTTGCTGTGGAAAAAGGGCCGGAACCATCTGCCACTTTGGCAGGGCAGCCATTTTAAAACAGTCAGTCTGCAGTCTGTGAACTGCAGGAGTGGCTGGTTCTGTTGTGTAGTGAGAACCAGGAAGGTAGTCTGTAGTTTAAAAACTACAGGAAAAGTCTGATTCTACTGTAGTGAGAATCAGGACGGTTTTGGCTTTTAGCCTAGGTAGTTTAGATAAGTCGAGCTGACTTATTTATAGTAGTATTTAGTGTATGAGTAGAAAGGGTGAGAGAAACCCAGTGAGAATCTTTATTGCAATAGAAATATCACAATGAAAGAATAAGCTTGTATCTGAAGTAATCTATTAAAGAAAGAAACACAGTTTGAAGAAAAATAGTTTGAAACCTGTTTAGTGGAAGGAAGAGTCCTTTCCAGAGTTGTTTTAAGAAATGTTATAAATGTAACCTCTGAAGATATGTGCCTCTAAGAGTCAAGAAACATTGAAACCATCAAGCTTCTGCTACATTTCAATAAACGTGTTACAGTTTCTTGTAAAGCCCGGTCTCTGTTACAAATCCTTTCTAAGTTAAGTCATGCTACACATTGAAGAAAGACCAATTCAATATCACTAGCGATTAGCTACGCTACCAATTTAATAAGCCCTTACAAAGCGGTGGCTCCTTTACAAAACCATTACAAACTGGTGGCTTCTTTACAAATTGGTGGCCTCGTTGCAGGGGGCTTGTCTGATATCCCTGGGGAGTGAGTTCTAGAGTCGGGGGGCCACCACAGAGAAGGCCCTCTCCCTCGTCCCCACCAATTGCACCTGCGAAGGAGGTGGGAGCGAGAGCAGGTCCTCTCCGAATGATCGAAGAGATTGCGTGGGTTCATAAACAGAAATGCGGTCATGCAGGTAGGCAGGTCCCAAACTGTTCAGGGCTTTGTAGGTGATAACCTGCACCTTGAATTGGGACCAGGAAATTTTATTTATTTATTTATTTATTTATTATTCATACTTATATGCCGCCACTCCCCTCGGAGCGGCTTACAAAAACAAACGGACACAAATTAAAACAACATATCAAAGGTCAAAAGCCTGTCGAAACAAATATGTCTTACAAGCCCTGCGGAAGGCTGATAAATCCCGCAAGGCACAAACCTCTGGCGGCAGAGTGTTCCAGAGCGATGGTGCCACTGCTGTGAAGGCTCTGCGTCTGGTTGCTGTTAGGCACAAGGTCTTAACACTGGGAACTTCCAAGAAATCTTGGTTCTCTGAATGGAGAGATCTCTGGGGTTGGTAGGGGGTGAGGCGGTCCCTCAGGTACATCGGCCCCAGACCATGCAAGGCCTTCAAGGTGAGGACCATCACTTTGAAATGAACATAAGGTTTTAATTTTTTGTGTGTTATTGCTTATATGTGAGTTATATTAATTGTACTGTTTTACTTGCTTGCTGTCTTGTTGTTTTACTGCTGCGTTGTTGGGCTTGGCCTCGTGTTAGCCGCCCCGAGTCCCCTTGGGGAGATGGTGGCGGGGTATTATTATTATTATTATTATTATTATTATTACATCAGATGGATGCCCATCAGATGGATGCCAAACCTGGGAATGTTCTGGAAAAGACTGTGAATCCATCACTCAGTGGATGCTTCGGAAAAGCTGACTCTGAAGCCTGTGTTAGGAGTGCGGGAAGCGTGAATTCACCCCGCCAGAGGCCCAGCTGACCAACGGGAGCCCTTTAGGTCCCCGCTTATGAACTGTGTCCCAAAGGCATTGAGTGGAGGGTTTCAGTTCTCAATGGAGTCTTGCCTTTCCTCTCTCAGTCAGGTCTCTTCCATCCCGTCTTGGAGGCGTGGACCGGCCAGCGGTGATGGCTGCCTTCCAGAAATCGACTTCCCTCCTGGTGAGAGAGCGCTTGGACCCTTCTGCTAGGCTTAGGAATCCTCCATCCTGGAGTGGGAGAAGGAAGGAAGAGGGTGCCAGGAGGTGGGAGATCTCTATCTCAAATGCTATCTTAAATTGTAAGTCACTTGGAGCACCTTGGTGGAGAGCGACTAATTAAGAAATAAAGTGGAGATCTCCCTGCGAAGAGGAGGAGGAGGAGGAGGGCTCTGGCCTGAGGCTAGGCTATGGGCTCCCTGCATCTGCACCTGGCACCAGGGGGGCCCTTGGGAGCCCTTTGGGGCGTCCGGCACATGAAGGACAGTCCCTCCCCAAGGCGCAAGGAGGGCATCCCGCCTGGAAGAAGAAGGGCACGGGCCTCCCTCCCTCCTGCAGCCAATGAGGGGTCAAGGGACCCTGGGCCAGAGGGCAGAGGAGCCCCCCAGGCAGGCAGAATGGGGCACAAGGGAGGCCTTCCAGTTTGGGGGTGCAGAGGGGGGCCCCGTCCTGGTGCCAAGCGCTGCCTTACTGGGTCCCCAAAAGGTGTCCCAGAAAGCTCTCCAGAGTGACAGAATGCGGCGTTCCTTTCCAACTCAGGTGAGAATGGCAGGGAGAGGTCTTCCTTGTTTTGCCTTTGTTACGGGAAGCAATGGGCTCCTCTTGGCAGCCTTGGAAACCTTCCCCCTCCACCAGGTTTAGCGGAAGGAAGGCCGAGCAGCCCAGGTTTGAGGGCCGGAGAGACCCGTGTCCCTCCCAGGGCTGGGGGCCTTTCCTGCCCCGCTCCCCCTCCCAGGCCCCTCCTCTTCTGGGGGATTCTGGGAGAATCGTAGCATCCTAGAGTTGGAAGAGACCTGGTGGGCCATCATCCAGTCCAACCCCATTCTGCCAAGAAGCACCCCTGACAGATGGCCACCCAGCCTCTGCTCCAAAGCCTCCACCACACTCCCTCCGGGGCAGAGAGTTCCACTGCTGAACAGTTTCTCTCTGTGTCAGGAAGCTCTTCCTCATGTTCAGGTGGAAGCTCCTTTCCTAGACTTTGAAGCCATTGTTCCATTGCGTTCTAGTCTCCAGGGAAGCAGAAAAATAAGCTTGCTAGAAGGCACCTCCCTGGTCGTCTTCTCCAGTGTCCCATTGCTCTGCCCCACACGGATTGGCCCCTGGGGAAGCCCTTTCCCTTCCGGGCTCTGTCCCAACTCGGGCCCACTCCTCCCCCAAAGAATGAGTGGACACAGTGACCCTCCCTTGGGCCAGACTTCAGTGGCCTCCTGCCATGTAGACAGAGTCTGCGCCACAGCTGTGGCTGCCAAAGGGAGGCCAAAGAAGAAGGGGTCGAGGGACGGGGCCCGTGGGGCAGCGGGTGAGGGCTCCCTTTCTCTCTCTTCCCACAGAATGTCCCGGTGGAGGCCACGCAGAGGGTCCTGGAGGAGTATCTGGGGGAGATGGAAGACCCCCAGGAACTACGGGAGCAATTTCAGGATTTCATGGGGGACGCCATGTTTGTCCTTCCTGCTCTTCGGGTAGCGAGAGCTCATAGAGGTGAATCCTCACACAAAGCACATGGTACTGGTGTGCCATTTGATGTTTGGGAGGAAACATCAAATGGGGGAGGGGCAAGGGCTGTGAGGAAATAGGTGCTTGAGCTCCCTGAATGCCTACAAAGGCAACCCCCAAGGACCGGATCCCGTTGGGCCTCAAGGACGCCCTTTGAGTGTCCTGGGAGTAGGGGAGGCACCCTGAGGACATCTCTGTCTGAGGTGGGAGCCCAGGGATCTCACCCAAGGATCGGGTCCAAGGAAGCTTCCTCCTGCGTGTTTTTGTTTGTTTGGGGTCTTCATAACTCCAGGCACTGACTTCCCCTCTACCTCTCTCTTTCCTTTCTTCAAAGACTCGGGTGCCCCCGTCTACTTCTACGAATTCCAGCATCGCCCTTCCATCTTCAGAGACACCAGGCCGGCTTTTGTAAAGTCCGACCACGGAGACGAAGGCATCTTTGTTTTGGGAACGCTGTTCTTAAGCAGCAAGGATTCCCCGTTTGGTGAGGCCTCCACAAGGGAGTGAGCGCCTTTCGGGTTGGAGCAGCAGCGGGGAGGTTTAGGGGGTCTCGCTTCAGTTTTTGCCTTGGGAGGAGGCAGCTCAACTGAATGGCTGCTCCACTTCACGAAGGAGCATTCAAGGGTGGATAAGACGCCAGTAAGCACAGCCTATGCCACAGGTCCCCCCACCAAGTCATTGGGCGCAAGGACTCCCAGCAGCCCCTTGATGGCCGAGGGTCCCAGATAGAAAGGGCCCCGCAAAGACTGGGGCGGAGTGCCTTGGGCCCCACAGAGCAGCCAAAGGGGCCCCTCCTGCCTTGCTCCAGAGCAGCCCGTGCCAAGGCAGGCCAGGCGGACCCTGTGCCTGTTAGGGAGAACTACCCTAAAATGTGGCAGAGCACCCAAAACTCAAACAGGATACTAAGAGTTGTGCATCGGCTCTTGAGCTAGCAGAGCGTGAAGTGCCGTGTGATGTGGCTGTAAAGAATGTAGAGCTTAGGCAGGCAAAGACACAGAGTCCAGTCTTAAATATCGCAAAAGGTTTATTTACAATAGTAATAAGCCATAACCTCGTTTCCTGAAAACGAAAGAACTGGGTCTGAGCCACTCCCACGCCCATCTCTTCTTAGGTTCCAAAGAGAGGGGGAAATCCTCCAAGCGCTGCATCTCCCAGAGACACACGCAGAGAGAGATCTCAAAGCACACAGCACATACTCAGGAGTCAGATTTCAGAAGGGTTGTAGTTGAAGAGTATCCATTGTACACAACCCATCCGAATGAGAGCAGACACGGAGAGGAGAGAAGAATTCTTAGATGCATTCCGACTGTCATAGGGGAGACATGGGGGAAGGAAACCCTTGGCCTATTCTTACTAACTAAACGGTTCCTCATTGAGACTTGGGCAGTGTGGGGGTGAATTCCAACGATGCCCCGCTGGCCCTGAGCAGGGACAGGCTCCTCTCCCGTTCCCCTCCCCACATCTGTGGGTCCCCCTTGGCCCCCCGCTCCCTGAGAAGCATGCTCAGGGCCCCTTCTTTCCTTCTTCCTCTTAGCCTTTGCAGGGGGATACACCGAGGAGGAGAAACGGCTGAGCAAGACGGTGATGCGATACTGGGCAAACTTTGCACGCAGCGGGTGAGGCTCCCTCTTGGATCCGCGCGGCCCTGATGTTGTGGTGAGCCAGGTTGCGCAAGGCCTCACCTCTGCCTGCCTCTGGTGCTTCCAGGAACCCCAACGGCCACGGGCTGGTGGAGTGGCCCCGCTACGACCAGGAGGAGGGCTACCTGGAGCTGGGCTTGGAGCTGAGAGGAGCCCACAAGCTGAAGCAGAGCAAAGTCGACTTCTGGCTGAAGACCCTGCCGGAGAAGATGAGGAAGGAGGAGGAGGAAGAAGAGAGGAAAACACACCAAGAGCTGTAGGCAAGGGAGGGGTGGCCACAGAGGAGAACAAGGCACCTCGAGGGAGGAAGAGGAGGAGGAGGAGGAGGAGGAGGAGGAGGAGGAGGAGGAGGAGGAAGCAGAGCCTGGTGATGTGATGGGGAAATTGATGTCGAGCAAGAATTTGGGGGTCTTTGCCAGGAGGCAGAGACCAATCAGACCCAACAAGGAGAGTCCGGAACCCTGGCGAGACGAGCAAAGCACCCCAGATTTTTCCCTAAATTTTCCCAAATAAAGTCTCACCAAAGTTGAAGAACAGCCACCGAGTTGTCTTTATTTCGTCCCAGCTGGTATGGATGTCAAACCTCAATCCCTTGCCAAAGTCGACATGCGGATACGGAGGCCCAATGGGTTTCTGCATCCGCGGTTCAGAGGAGCGCAGTTTCGGCCTCCCCGGGATACGGAAATCGCATCCCGGGCAGGCCAGCAGCCATCTGCAGCCTGGGAGAGGAAAGATTTATGCAGAGAAGAGTTTGGAGGCAGTAAAAGACACAAAGTAACACTAGTGAGAGAAAAAAGTTACAGTGAATTGATACTTTATTGGGGGGAGTAGTTACAATGTTAGGAAGGGGAAGAAAGTGAAGTAAGAAGAAGCCTTCTGGGTTGCAGCTGCTGCTGTGGCCACATTCATGGAGGTTGGCCCAAGTGGGACAATGGAGAACTGAGGAACTCCCTGCTGCAAGTCAGATCAGCTTGAAAGCAGGGAGTTCTGGGTTCGACCTTAAAATAACTGGGTGCAGAAGAGTCCTGGGCCTGTCGGGAAGGGCTGGGCCTCCTGGCGATCCAGCAGAATTATTATTATTATTATTATTATTATTATTATTATTATATTTATTTGTACCCTGCTAGCATCTCCCGTAGGACTCGATGCGGCTCACACAGGCCGAAGCCTCAAAACACAGTACAACAGAACATAATACAACAGCAATACCAGAAGCAAATCAAAACAGTTAAGCAAAATAAACAATAACAGTAACACTTTAAAACAGGACACTTTAAAACTGGGCTGGCCAGAGCAGTGGGTACAGGAATTAAAAGTGCTGAAGTGGCAGGAGGAATGTAGGATTATAAAATAAGTGCGGTGTGCAGCGATCTTAATTCTACTAAAGTGCTTCTAGGACTTGGTGATGGGGATTCCTAATCTGAAAAGGCACATCGGAACAGCCAAGTTTTTAAATTCTTTCTGAAAACTGCCAAAGTAGGGGCCTGTCTGAGATCTTTTGGGAGGGCGTTCCAAAGTCGGGGGGCCGCCACAGAAAAGGCCCTGTCTCGCGTCCCCACCAAACGCGCTTGCGACGCGGGTGGGATCACGAGCAGGGCCTCTCCAGATGACCGGAGTGAGCGTGTGGGTTCGTAGATGGAGATGTGGTCATGCAGGTAGGGTGGTCCCAAACCGTTCAGGGCTTTGTAGGTGAGCACCTGCACCTTAAATTGGGCTCGGAAAATAAATGGCAGCCAGTGGAGCTCCTTAAACAGAGGGGTAGACCTCTCTCTATAATGAGCCCCGGTTAGCATCCTGGCTGCTGCCCGCTGGACCAATTGAAGTTTCCGAGCCGTCTTCAAGGGCGGCCCCACGTAGAGCGCATTGCAGTAATCCATTCTAGAGGTGACCAAGGCGTGGACCACCCCGGCCAGATCTGCCGTCACGAGGTACGGTCGCAGCTGGCGCACAAGTCTCAGTTGTGCAAAGGCCCTCCCGGACACCGCCGACACCTGAGCCTCAAGTGTAAGCGAAGAATCCAAGAGGACACCCAAGCTGCGGACCTGTGGCTTCAGGGGGAGTGTAACCCCGTCCAACACAGGTTGCCACCCTATACCCCGATCCGGTTTGCGATCGACCAGGAGGACCTCTGTCTTGTCAGGATTGATCTTCAGCTTGTTCCTCCTCATCCAGATAGACACAGCGGCCAGGCACTCGTCCAGCACCCGAGAGGCCTCCTTGGAATTAGGTGGAAAGGAGTAGTAGAGTTGTGTGTCATCTGCATAGAGATGGCACCCAACTCCAAAACTCCGGATGACCTCTCCCAGCGGTTTCATGTAGATGTTAAAAAGCATGGGAGACAGAATAGAGCCTTGCGGGACCCCACAGGTCAAAGGCCAGGGGTCCGAGCAGGCGTCTCCCAGCTTCACCATCTGGGTTCGTCCCTCCAGGAAGGACTGGAGCCACGACAGAACCGTGCCCCCAAGGCCCATCCCAGAGAGACGACCCAGAAGGATACCATGATCGATGGTATCGAAAGCCGCTGAGATGTCCAAGAGAACCAACAGAGTCACACTCCCCCTGTCCAGCGCTCTGCGGAGGTCATCCACCAAGGCGACCAAGGCTGTCTCGGTGGCGTGACCAGGCCTGAAACCAGACTGTGACTGATCTAGGTAGTTGATATCATCCAAAAAGCCCTGGAGTTGGGAGGTGACCACCCGCTCCAGCACCTTACCCAAAAAAGGGAGGTTGGAGATTGGTCTGTAATTGCTCAGCACCGTGGAGTCAAGGGAAGCCTTTTTGAGGAGTGGGCGAACCACAGCCTGTTTCAGATTAGATGGAAAAATCCCTTGCTCCAACGATGCGTTAACGATCAACACAAACCAATCAACCAGCCCCTCCTTGGCCGATTTAATGAGCCAAGATGGGCACGGGTCTAGAGACGAGGTGGTCGCCCTCACAGCCCCAAGAACCTCTTCCACGGTTTGAGGAAGAACAAGCCTAAAAGAATCCCACAAAATTGGACAAGCAGATACCTCCGTCACCTCTTCTGGTGCTGCGATGAAATTGGAGTCGAGCTCAAGGCGTATCTGAGCAACTTTGCCTGCAAAATGGTGTGCGAAATCGCGACACCGAGCTGCTGGGTCGTCAGTGACCTCCTCCACCACAGGTGGGTGAAGGAGTTCTCCCACAACCCGGAACAGCTCCGATGATCTATTTGCTGCAGACGCTATACGGGTGGTCGTGAATGATTTCCTGGCCACCCGTATAGCCACGGAGTATGCCCTAAGAGAGGCTTTAGCCCGTGCTTGATCAGACACGTCCCGAGATTTCCTCCATTTGCGCTCTAGCCCCCTTCTCGTATGCTTCATCACAGCCAGCTCCCCGGTGAACCAGGGAGATGGCCTGTCACGACGCAACGAGATGGGGCGTTCGGGAGCGATCGTATCTATCGCCCTGGACATCTCCCTATTGTAGAGAGTCACCAAGGCGTCGATAGAATCGCCAGGCTCCAAGGCAGGAAGAACCCCAAGATTCCTCAGGAATCCATCCGGATCCATCAGTCTCCTAGGGTGGACCATTTTAATCTGTCCTCCACCCCTGCGGAGGTTAAGCGTCGCAGTGAGTCTAAAACTGATCAGATAATGGTCAGACCATGACACCGGAAGGATGTTTTGTTCTTCCACTCTAATCATTTCGCTGTCCGCCACGAAAACGAGGTCAAGTGTATGTCCAGCCTGATGGGTGGGTCCAGATATTATTTGTGACAGTCCTATGGTCGTCATGGTGGCCATAAAGTCCTGAGCTGCGCCAGACAGGGTGGTCTCAGCGTGGATGTTAAAATCTCCCAGCACCACCAGGCGCTGGGAAACCAAGGCCGAATTAGAGACCACCTCCGCTAGCTCAGACAGGGAAGCTGCTGGGTCGCGGGGTGGGCGGTACACCAGCAGGAACCCCACACTGTCACGGCTCCCCACCCTCAGGTGGACACACTCAAACCCAGAAGCTTGCAGAACAGCGCATCTGATCACGGCGATGGATTGCCGAAAGACTACTGTGCCCCCTCCTCCCCGCCCCCCCTGTCTGGCCTGCTGATGCACTCCGAAACCTGGTGGACACAGCTGAGTGAGATTTACTCCCCCCAGTTCATCCAACCAGGTCTCAGTAATGCACGCCAGATCCGCCCTCTCATCCAGAATCAGGTCCTGAATGGCCACGGTCTTACCATTAACGGATCTAGCATTAATCAGCAGGACCTTGAGACCGAGGGGACTGCCATGGAACCTACCACTTCCCACCTTCTCCAGGGTCGCAAGAACTCTGTTGCGCTTCTCCCTGGGATGTTGGTGACCCGCAAATCTCCTCCCCACACGACCTGGATGGCACCCCCTTCCTCCGGGACCCCCTCCCCCCCTACATGGTTGGGATCTATGGCTAGTCAGCTCTCAGAAGAAATAGGGCTGGGGAATAATCTCCCTTGGGCGTCAGGTAGGGATGCTTCTGATGTTGAGGTAGACAGTGAAACATCAAGGGAGCTGAGTGGGCTGAACAGGGGAAGTGTTCTCGAGCGGAGGAGTGTGGCTGGTTGAGTGGGGGCGACCGGGGCAGATGGGGTCTCAAAATGATACGAACCAGGAGGGGGGGCCCTAACCGGGGAGCTGTCTGTGGAATTCTCACGGGGACCTGATGGAGTAAGGCGGGAAGGTACCCCGGAGTCAAAGAGGGGGCGTATATGAGGGTCCACAACTACCCTTCTGATGGTAATGCCCCATTTCTTTAGGCAAGATCGCATTGCCATTAGCTCGCCAAGCCATAAGTTGTCTTCTGGTGTAATTAGAAGACGAGTGGAGCGATCAGATGACTGATAGTCCCTCCACAGCCATACTATGGCTTCCAGTCTTATTTCCTGTGATCCTTTACCGAGGATTTGGGCCAAGGAGTTACAAACCGCCCTCTTAGAGGTCCATCTGCCTCTGTTTACCATTAGGTCAGCAATGTCCACCGCAAAATTGTCTGTTTGTAGATGTTGGTCCTGGGCGCAAACTGCGGTTGGCTGTACCATAAGATCTGATGTTGTATTTTTGGTCGTCCTCTGAGTGGCCATCACAGTCCGCTGCCACTCCAAAAGAAGCCCCTTCTGTTGCCTGGGAAGCCCTTGGCCAGGCAGCACATTTCCATCCTGCATGTCTTTCGAAGCCGACTGACCCATGACTTCTGCTGCCCGAGAAGGCCACGGGAATGCTTCACCCTCTGTGCCCTCATGGAACCCTAGAAGAGGTGGAAGAGACCTGGCGGGCCATCGTCCAGTCCCACCCCCTTCTGCCAAGAAGAAGGGAAATCGCATTCAGAGCACCCCTGACAGATGGCCAGCCAGCCTCTGCTCCAAAGCCTCTTCTGGGTCACGGCTCCTAGCCCAAGCAACCAACCCAGAGACACTAGGGTGGAGGGTCTTTGTTCTGGGGAGTGGGGGGTGGGGGTGGGGGCCTCTCGGGGATCTTTCCATGGTTCTGCTGCATTGTGTGCTGAGTTCCTTTCCCTCCCTGAAGGCATGTTTGTACTCGCGAAATGAATAAACACCCTTGCTCTTGGCTGGCAGGAGAGTCCGGGCACGCAATGCTCCGTCCTGCGGAAAAACATGCCTGCAAACACAGGGCTATGCACACATACACACACACACACACACACCCCGCCTCTAGAGCCAAAGTCCCGAATGGCTGAGCAGGGATGGGGCAACCCCAGGGAGAAGCCGGGCAAAGGCCAAAGTCCTCTCCCGTTGTGTGCCCGGCCCCGCCCTCTCTGCCACTCTTTGATGACAAGGGGGGGGGGTGTCCCTCCTGGCCGGCCTCACCTTCGTCCCCTCCCTCCTGAGTGTTCTCTGAGAGCTGCCTGGAGAGCAGGCCCCTGAGCATGGGCAGAGTGCTTGGCCAGGAACAACACTGCGCGCAAGAGTGGCCATTCATCGGCTGAGAGGCTCCTCCAACCTGGCCTTGCCTGCGGATGGCGCTCTCCCAGCAAAGGCTCCAGGTGTGTTTCTCGGGGGGAGGGGAGGTGTAGAATGACCTTGGGGAGTGCTGGGCGTTGTAGTCCCCGACGAGGGCGGCATTCCTGAGGGCGCATGGGGTGCATTTATTTCATTATTGATTTATTAGACTTAGAATTCTCCCAGGAGAAGAATGGCATCGATTTTGGAGCAACAATGTCATAGAGATACAACAGTGACATAATAAGTAAAACATTAAAATTAGATTAAAAACCATTGAAAATAGTGCAGATTGAATTAGGTGTGTGGGGGCAGTTTATATATCACATATATATGATATTAATATTACAATATTAAAATTACAATATAAACCTTTTACTATACCTGATTTTTTTTCTGGAAGGGTTTCTTTGTGGAAAATGTCACTAGAACAGCATGTATTGATTTTTCCTGCCTGAACTGCCCGTGTACGTCAGATCTGCCGACCAGCACAAGGTCACGGGAGAGAGGACCGGAACACGCGGACTCTCCAGGTGATTAAGATGTTTTCCTATGTATTCATAATTATTTATTTTTCGTGTCAGGGCAACCTGTCAATTATATTACATTTCTAACAGAACAAAGCAAACAAACAGACAAAACACAAAATTTGTGTGTTTGGTAGTTGATTAAATGTCCTTTGACCAGTCTCTGTCCCCTTGGAGTGCCTCTGGTGTTGCCGCAAGAAGGTCCTCCCTTGTGCATCATGTGGCAGGGCTCAGGTTGCATTGCAGCAGGCGGTCAGTGGTTGGCTCTTCTCCACACTCGCATGTTGTGGACTCCACTTTGTGGAATCCCCATTTCTTGAGGTTGGCTCTGCATCTCGTGGTGCCAGAGCGCAGTCTGTTCAGCACCTTCCAAGTTGCCCAGTCTTCTGAGTGCCCAGGGGGGAGTCTCTCATCTGGTATCACCCACGGATTGAGGTTCTGGGTTTGAGCCTGCCACTTTTGGACTCTCGCTTGCTGAGGTGTTCCAGCGAGGGTCTCTGTAGATCTTAGAAAACTATTTCTAGATTTAAGTCATTGACATGCTGGCTGATACCCAAACACGGGATGAGCTGGAGATGTCTCTGCCTTGGTCCTTTCACTAATGGCTGCTACTTCCCGGCGGATGCCAGGTGGTGCAATACCGGCTAAGCAGTGTAATTTCTCCAGTGGTGTCGGGCGCAGACACCCCGTGATAATGCGGCATGTCTCATTAGGAGCCACATCCACTGTTTGAGCGTGGTGAGATGTGTTCCACACTGGGCATGCGTACTCAGCAGCAGAGTAGCACAGCGCAAGGGCAGATGTCTTCACTGTGTCTGGTTGTGATCCCCAGGTTGTGCCAGTCAGCTTTTGTATCCTATAAAAATAAATAACATACTGTCTGTGTATTTATGATTGACATAAATCAAAAACCACTGGGAGAATAGACACCACACTGGGACAAAAGACATCTATCTCAGGCCAGCCACAAGTGACCCTCACTCATCACAACACTGAGAAAGAAACACAGCAGAAGAAGAGACTCAAAAAGCAAGAGATGCTCAACAGATGCGCAAAACCCACATATTTACACATATACTCACACACATATATGTATACACACACACACACACAATGCATATACGGAGACTGGGCCATAGCAACGCGTGGCAGGGGGCAGTGTTTACTATTTCTGATCCAGAGAGAGAGAGAAAGAGAGTGAGACTGGATTGGGAGCAGAACAGGAGCCCAGCCCAGGCAGGGAGGGAGGGAGGGAGGGAGGGAGGGCCAGGCTTGGGGATTGGGCTGAGTGGTCCTTGGGTGAGG